TTATAATAATACACTCATTTTATTCTTTATACTTTTAGCTTTAATAATAATCTTCATATATGATTGTAAATGTTGTGGTTGTGGAGAAATTTATTGAAATATGAAGACACGTTTTTATGAAACAATGATTGTATGTATTGTAATTACGAAGAAATTGTATCAATTTTGAGAATTAATTACAGGAAAGCTAATTGGGACACAATTATAACAATACACTCGTTTTATTCTTTATACTTTTAGCTTTAATAATCATCTTCATATATGATTGTAGATGTTGTGGTTGTGGAGAAATTTATTGAAATATGAAGACGCGTTTTTATGAAATTATGATTGTATGTATTGTAATTACGAAGAAATTGTATTAATTTTAAGAATTAATTACAGGAAAACTAATTGGAACACAATTATAACAATACACTTCTTTTATTCTCTATACTTTTAGCTTTAATAATAATCTTCATATATGATTGTAAATCTTGTGGTTGTGGAGAAATTTATTGAAATATGAAGACGCGTTTTTATGAAACTATGATTGTAAGTATTGTAATTACGAAGAAATTGTATCAATTTTGAGAATTAATAACAGGAAAACTAATTGGAACACAATTATAACAATACACTCGTTTTATTCTTTATACTTTTAGCTTTTATAATCATCTTCATATATGATTGTAAATCTTGTGGTTGTGGATAAATTTATTGAAATATGAAGACGCGTTTTTATGAAACTATGATTGTAAGTATTGTAATTACGAAGAAATTGTATCAATTTTGAGTATTAATTACAGGAAAACTAATTGGGACACAATTATAACAATTCACTCGTTTTATTCTTAATACTTTTAGCTTTAATAATCACCTTCATATATGATTGTAAATCTTGTTGTTGTGGAGAAATGTATTGAAATATGATGTTGCTTAAAAACCATTTTCAATCAATCAAAAATCGCTTAAATTAACACACATGATTAATATCAAAAGCAATTAAATAATTACAATTAAACCTAATTTCAATAATCAAATTTAAACAGCGGAAAGATGTCCTATAACGTGGAAAGTTATACTTCTTGTTGCACAATCCACACTAGCGCCATCTTCAAGCTTCATCTAAAATCCAGTAGTTCCGCTATTTTGGCGCTGATTATTATTAATTATGGCATTAATTGTAATTATTATTACCTCAATGCAATTAAATTAGCGAAAAGTTGATTAGTTAAAGAAATGCAGACGTTAACGTTTAATTAATTAAACTTACGTAGAGTTTATTTCAAGAATTAAGTCAATATTTGAATTATCTTTTCTTTACTTGTATTTTAATTATAATTAAGCTTTAGATTTGATTTTAAGTCTGTGATTAAGTTGAATTTCTTTACTTAAAGATGTGTTTTGTTAATAACTTAATTAAGTTCGTTGTTAAGGTAATCTGTGTGAATGATTGCATAATCTTTGTTTATTATTAATTGCTAGGATACGGATTTTGAATGGATTAATAAATGAGAATCGTTTTTTTTTTGTTTTGTTGTTGTTGTTGTTTATACATTTATTGCTGCAATACAACGCATTCAGCTAATTGGGTTACAATTAATATATACATATTTAGTCACTAACCTTACCCCGAGACGACATATCCTCTAATAACAGTAAAAAGCTATGAGTTACGTTTTATATGTACATAGTTTTCATTTATCCATTAAATCGTTCAATACTCACTTATATCAACTCACTATAACATTATTACTTGGTATTCATATTTTTTTTCTTCTTCTCTCCCTCTGTTCATTCAATTTATATTACGTCGGTTTCAATTAGTAAAGTTAGAAAAAAATGGACAATCAATGTAGTAGAGTAGTTTCATTCATTCAGTTCAACAATAACACTTTAGAATTATTGGAATATTTCGGAAGATTTTCACTCTTTCTTACATACTTTCGTTTCACCTAAAACCCTAACAAATGTTTCCATTTCAATTATTTTATTTCGTTTCAATTCAGTGTATATTTTTATATTTATATATATATATAATATATTCTTGTGGTTTCTTAAGGAAGTCAACGGAATCGTACACACTATTCGATTATTGTTCTTGAGGTAATTCTGACCGTCCATTCAAAAAAAATAAAATAATAGAAGAAGTTCTCTTCTCTCGATCAAGCGACAACGCAAACATGCATGCATTCATCAATTGTTTTGATTCTCATTCTCAATTGTTTTCTCTTTTTAAACAACGACGAAACAAAATAGAAACAAAAGAAACATACGTAGACTACTTGTTTAAAGCACACAATCAGCGCAGAAGATTCGAAAACTTTCATATATTTTTTTGTTGTTGTTGTTGTTTGCATTCGAGAAACTACAAAGAGTAAACAACGCAAGTATTCGCAACGAAGACGGAAACAGTTCAGAAGATTAGGAACAGATTTTCAGTTTTTTTTTTCTTTTCTTCAATTGTTTTGCAATTGGCAGTAGCAGTCGAAACAACTGAAATATTAATGAATCTAGAATGCTTTGCATTTATCAATTGTTCATGTTGTTGAATAAAAAAAAATTAAAAAAAAACTCAGGTCCTTCAGTCAACCAGGAAACGCAGAGTAGTTAACAAAGTTAAAGACGGGGTTTGGTTTCTTAAGAAATAATGATTTTGTAAATGATAAATCTGAATGCGTGAACTAATCGAAGGCACGAATTTCCAAATAGACCGACACAAAAACTTTGTTTGCTTTTGTTTTTTGCAGAGGAAAATCAAGTCACAACGGAATTCACCTGCTAATTAATAAGACTACTAATTGACGAAATCAGGTTTTACTTTTCTCTTCTCTTCTTTTCAATTCTTCTCATATTTCTTTTTTTTTATATTAATTTTCTCTCCTTCAATCTTCGTTTCTTTTTTGTAAACATTTTAAAATCAGGGGTCGTTTTCGGACTACGCGTACAATCCGAGTCGATGTATCTTTGCGGACAGAAAGTTGTGCAGGATGAAGACTATTGGTTTCGGGCATCCTTCCATGTCCAATTCCTGTAACAAAAATGAAGAAAATCGATAATTTTTTTGTACTAATTGTTAGTTTAAGTATATATAAAGTTAACTTAGAAAAAGGTTAAATTTTGATACAAGAATGAACAAAATTTGGTTTAGAAGTTTAATAAAATGTAGTAAATTCAGTTTCTTTTGTAAGAAAATGTTAAACTTGACAAATATGTTTATTGGATTGAAACTTTTGTTAGTTTATTGAAACATAAAGAAATTGAAAATTCTCAATTGGAAATTTTTTAAATTACAATTTTATAGTAAACATTTGAAAAAAATGAAAGTTTTTTTTAAGAAAATGTTGAAATTTACAAGAATATTTATTAGATCGAAACTTTTGTTAGTTTATTGAAGCACAACGAAATAGAAAAATCTTATTTGAACGTTGATAAAATAAATTTTACAAATTGAATTTTAAGTAAGAATTAAAGAAATTTGTGTTCTCTGAAAGAAAATATTGAAATCTACAAGAATATTTATTAGATTGAGCATTTTGTTAGTTTATTGAAAGATAAAGGAATTGGAAATTTTTTGAAATAAATTTTACAAATTACAATTTTATGGTAAAAATTTGAAAGAAAATAAGTTTTTTGAAAGAAAATCTCAAATTAAAAATTGAAGAAAATGAAGTTTGTTGTAAGAAAATGTTGAAATTTACAAGAATATTTATTAGATCGAAACTTTCGTTAGTTTATTGAAGCAAAACGAAATAGAAAAATCTTATTTGAACGTTGATAAAATAAATTTTACAAATTGAATTTTAAGTAAGAATTAAAGAGAATTGAGTTCTCTGAAAGAAAATATTGAAATCTACAAGAATATTTATTAGATTGAACCTTTTTTTAGTTTATTGAAAGATAAAGAAATTGAAAATTCGCAATTGGAAATTTTTGAATTAAATTTTATGAAATACAAATTTTGTAAATAGTAAGAGAATTCATTGAATCTTTAGTCAGTTCATTGAACCATAACAAATCTCGATTTGTGAATTGTTGTAGAAACTTACATAATCAATAAGAGGATTTGATCATGAATTGGCAAAGAATTGACCAAAATGTAACACGCGAAAAAGATGTAAATTTCTAAAGAAACGAATGGAAATAATGCGATTATCGTATTACGACTTACGATGTCTGCTTCTTCTCCACCGAAATATAAAATTAATTTAGAAAAAGGTTAAATTTTGATACTAGAATGAACAGAATTTGGTTTAGAAGTTTAACAAAATGAAAGAAATTCAGTTTCTTTTGAAAGAAAATTTACAAATATATTTATTGGATTGAAACTTTTTTTAGTTTATTGAAAGATAAAGAAATTGAAAATTCTCAATTGGAAATTTTTGAAATAAATTTTACAAATTACAATTTTATAGTAAACATTTGAAAGAAAATAAGTTTTTTGAAAGAAAATCTCAAAATGTATTTAAGTATTCTGTAATTTTTTAAATAAGTTTTATAATTTATATAGTTATTAAAAATTGAAGAAAATGAAGTTTTCTGTAAGAAAATGTTGAAATTTACAAGAATATTTATTAGATCGAAATTTTTGTTAGTTTATTGAAGCACAACGAAATAGAAAAATCTTATTTGAACGTTGATAAAATAAATTTTACAAATTGAATTTTCAGTAAGAATTAAAGAAAATTGAGTTCTCTGAAAGAACATTTTCAAATATACAAGAATATTTATTAGATTGAACCTTTTTTAGTTTAGAAATTGAAAATTCTCAATTGGAAATTTTATGAAATACAAATTTAGTAAATAGTAAGAATTCATTGAATCTTTAGTCAGTTCACTGAACCATAAAAAATCTCGATTTGTGAATTGTTGTAGAAACTTTCATAATCAATAAGCGGATTATATTTGATCACGAATTGGCAAAGAATTGACCAAAATGTAACACGCGAAAAAGATGTAAATTTCTAAAGAAACGAATGGAAATAATCCGATTATCGTATTACGACTTACGATGTCTGCTTCTTCTCCACCGAAATCCAAAAAGAGCATCCTCTTCCCATCATCCGAAGAGTTCCGAAGACGATCGAAAGGATACCTCCACAACGTCCTGGATCCCGTTCCGCCTTCGAGAAGCGTGAATCCGTTCTCGTAGTGGATCACCAGCTGCGACGGTCTCCCCTTCCAAAGGCACCCTGCGCAAAGAAAATAAAGTAAAATCTAATCTCACTCATCCACAACGAAAAGAAGGAAAAGAAAATACGAAGCAAAAGAAAGTCCATTGAATGCATTCATATTTCGCCCGTACTTGAATGTACGTGTAATCCTTTTTTCATTTCGCTTTTTCCATCCACCTACGAGCATTATATTATCCAATAACAATAACCGAATTTCAATCCATTTCCCACTCTGAATAGCACAGACGCGATTTTAATATCGTTCCTCGCATTCGGAAAGGCCGCAATTCCTTTCCCGTTCCAATCCATTCCCTTCTACCATTCGAGAAAAACGACAGCTAAGCTTAAACTTAACAATCCAATAACATTATTACGAACTTTATTGGACGATTCTTTTTATCCCAAACGTAAATGTCTGCATTTTTTTTCTCTCTCGTTCAATCGCGTTTTTTTTTTGTTATTTATTTTTGTTTCATCTCTAATTAGTGCTGACCAGTTTTCGAGCTCCGCAATAAACGCATCCAATTAATGCCCGGAACGAATTTTCGGATAGTTAATTGGAATCACTTGCGGAGCGGAAAATTTGCCGCGCCGACAGAATTTGCAGATATTGCCGTTATTATCATCATCATCATCATCATGGACAACATAAACATGATCATCATCATCATCAACGTGCGGGTTTATTACACGTTTTTTTATGTTTCACCCCCGCCAAATTACGAAACGACCAGGGAAAAAAANAACGACTTCAACAAAAAAAGAAAAACTGAAATAAAATGTGAAAAATTTAGGTGCGAATTAAGCGAAACATTCTTGCTGACTTCACCAGTATTATTTGCATAATCGATTCAGTTTTACAGCAATTTGAGAGAGTTTAATTTGGGAAAATTTTGACTAAAATTTCAATTTTATTCTCTACGAATTCAACTTTATGTTTATTGTAAATGATTTGAAAAGTTTCCATTTAACACCAAAGAAAATTGATGAAATTGAAACAAATTATTTTCAGCAAAAGAAAGCAAAACTTTGTATAGAAGTAATTTAATAGATTTTGACTAAATAATGAAATATAAAGACAAGTTTTACAAGGAATTTTTCAATAACGAATTAATATGTTTTCAAAAATAAACTTGAATTTAGTAATTCATGTTTTAATGCAGTTTTCTTAGTTCAGACAAAACATTGTAAAGATTTTAATTTATGTTAAAAATAAAAACTGAAGAAGATTAATGATTCACTATTTAATTAACGCGAAATGCCTTCAACAAAAAAAGAAAAACTGAAATAAAATGGGAAAAATTTAGAAGAAAAACTGAAATAAAATGTGAAAAATTTAGGTGCGAATTAAGCGAAACATTCTTGCTGACTTCACGAGTATTATTTGCATAATCGATTCAGTTTTACAGCAATTTGAGAGAGTTTAATTTGGGAAAATTTTGCGTAAAATTTCAATTTTATTCTCTACGAATTCAACTTTATGTTTATTGT